GAGAAAGCATAAACTGAAATGCATACAGTTCAGACACAGTTCACGTGCTTATTTTATATTGTTGGAACATTTTAGAAACTGTGTTTCTATAAGGCAATGCAGAAAGAAAGAATGCTATTTTCAAAATGACCCATAAAATTGTTTTTTATTTTTATTTCACACTATGGCACTAATACAAACTTGTCATTAGTAATCTAAATTCAGAAGACAGTGCACCAGACCTTGTTCTGCAGTTATTCTGCTACTGCTTTATTATTTTGCACAGTAATTTAAACCCATTGGAATATCATGCTTTTGTCTTTACTCTCAGCCTAATTCTCACTGCATCCTAATAGGCCAAGCAGTCATGGCTGGTGTAATAAACAACTTCTGCATTGACAAATGTATGCAGAAATTGAAGGACATAAACTAAGAAAGCTCCTGCACTAAATCCAAGAATTTACTGTAATTGATGTAAAACCTGATGCAGCTCCATCTGTCTATCCCATCACATGTCTGTGGCTCTTTTTTTTTCCTCCTGGAATACTTCCTGGACTTACCTAGCTTTCATAAAGGGGTAGGACAGAGATGACTTTCACATGAAAATTTTAAAAAAAGGCTTCAATTATCCTTGGTCATTTTAAGCACATTATCTTTATTGCTGGGCTGAAATTTTCTCCCTTAATCTTCAAAAAAAGCTAGGAAGTTAAATTTGTTTGACCTAACATGAAGAACATCTGAAATAAATCATCATGGAACTAGACCAGCAAGTTTGAAACTGGGATGAAATTCCACTTTCTTCATGTTAATAACAAGTTCTATCTTCCTGCTCTCAGTGTAGGGGGAAAAATAAAGCTATCAGTACTGAGGAAATCTTATTAGATTCAACCCTATTTTTAAACAGCTGGGATCAAAATCTTCATTCAGACACACTGGTGCCACTCCATTAAATTCCAGCAGTGGCACCACTGGTAGAAAAAGAATGGCACTCAAATTTTTCACCATTAAGTAATCTGTTTTCATTACCTTCTCAGCAGTTTGTTTCATTTGCCTGCAGTAGAGAAACTAAAATTAGAAAACATTTCATGTTCATAGTTAGTTTGCTTCCAATGTGAAAAAAACAAGTCTATAAATTTGTCTATTGGATTATGGCTTGTGCAGTTCTCTTGTAAAGTTGTCTTTACATTATAGTGATGAACTGTAAATGGTGTAGTGCATTATTTTGTCCAAAGTAATTCAAATTAATGACCCTAGAAATATTATTTTAGGTGACTGTTATAAAGCATTGACAATACCCATGAATATTACCAGCAGAATTTCTTTTCTTCTTTGTAATGTATGCATTGCCATGTGTTAATAAACTATTTTCTGATCATCTTCAGAACTTGCTGTCTCTTGCAGGAGTTCCACTTGCCAGTCTTGTGTCAATTCTAGTAGGAAATGAATGTCAGGTAAATGCTGATAGTAAACCATCAAAAGTTTGAATACATTTTTCTTGCCTTTACTTGCATACTCATGTTCACATTTCCCATTACCTAAAGCACCACTGATTCTGACTAAAAATAGAAAATTGAAGTGTGGTGATCTCCTAGCCTCTTCACCTTGTTTCTGTGAGAATTATGTTAGCTTAGAAAGTCTAAACATTACTTTATATTTTCGATTAAATGAAACTTTCAAAAAGGAGAAAAACAAAAAAAAAAGCAAATTATTTTTCTGGTTCAGATAAACATCATTCTGGATGCTAAAAATGGATTTACTTCTCAAGAATGGAAGAGGTTTGTATCTCCTTGCACTATACTGGTTCATGTCATCCTTAGAAATTGTTAAGCCTTACCAATCCCAGACAGTAGCACTTTGAAATTACTGGGGAAAAAAAACCCAACAAACCCAACAAATTTCTTCCAAACTGCACAGCACCAGAACCAGCACACATTTGGGAAATATGCCATCATAGCAGTGTCCAAAGACAGGCTTAAGAAGCCTAAAGATCAGAGGAGAATATGAAATGATTTGAGCTTCACAGAAACTTCTCATGGCTAAATACTGATTTCAAGACTACTTCTAAGGAAAAGTGAATGGAACACAAGAGCAACAAGTCAACCAACTTCTGGATTTCAAAAGAGAGGACTGAAGAGGAAGTTTTGTATTAAGTAATATTTAAAAACCCTACTGTGGCAACGATGCTAATAAACACCTCTTTTCTGTAGTGGTCACAGACTTGTTGGGCTTCACTTTGTACTGAAGAAATGGTTCTACAGCTCATGCAGCTGCACCCATAGTAAGGCTGGCCAGTCAGTAGAAACAATAACTTTGTCTGCACTTGCACATCTCTAATTTTTTTCAATTAACTCATTCAAAATACATTTCTAAAATTCCTGTAATAACTTCTCAATCTTTCTTCCTGACAAAGTTTTAAAAGCGAGTCAGCATTGAACATACATTTCCTTATTTTAAAGGTCATTCAATTGTCACACTCCAAACTAATTTTAAAGGTAAAGCAGGGGTTGAAAACAGATCTGAAATGTATTCCTCAGATGACATTTGCCTATAAATCCCACAAAAAAATTAAATTATTCTTTTAATATCAGGCACACCCTTCTAATTTCTTAGAGGGAGCTAGATATTTTATACTTACAAGGAGCTTTCCTTACTGCAGGCAAATAAAAAAAAATTTAAGATGTTGTATAAAATATGTGTTCATGTGCCAGAACACAGAAACCTGTAAATTTTTCTATCCTAGATGGGCAGAATTAATTTCAGATTTAATCATCCTGCTGCATAATCAGGATCACTGATAAGGAGGCACAGAATAACTCTGTTAACAGAAATCTGATACAAGCACAACGCTGTAGCATGCACAATGCTTTAATGCAAAAATAAGAGATGACTCTTCTGTATGTGACTCATGAAAAGGACATGAAGACCAAATCTACACTCATCATTCCAAAAAAATGTGCCACAAATGAAATCAGGTGGCTGTTCCATCTCAGTTGAAATCTAAGACAACAGATTATTAGCCTCTTTCAGATAACACAAGCCATGACGTTAATGATTTCATTTTTCCTACTAATGATGGGATTTCATTGTTTCATAAAAGTTAATAGCCAAAGGTAAATGTAAGATGTAACCCTAAGATTCCAAACTGCAGTCACTTCTTCATGCTGTTTTCAGGGAATTCCATCTTTGGCTTCATGAAGAAAGAGGTAGGTGATGGTTTTAAAGAAGCAGTTCTAAAGATCCTTGAGTATTTTAATACAGACAAAATATTGCCAAGCTGGCTCTCTTTCAACAGCATGCTATAAAAGAAAGGGAGGGGGGGAGGGAAGGAAGGAAAGGAAGGAAAGATTATTATGATATTTATTACTTTTAAGTTTGGCAAATAATGGCAACTATTGTCCACTACATTTAATGTAGGACAGAAGTATATCCCTACAAGAAAAAAGAGGAAGTGTCCCCTCAGGATAATAACTTCTAGAATAATTAAACTTAGAAGACTTTAAGTTTTGTGTATTTTTAGGAGCAAGTATGGTGTAATAGGCAAAGACAAGTAACACTGAATTAATTGCTTTTTGTTTTTTAGTCTATCTGTATTTAAAGATTTAAATACCTTAAGCACTTGTTAAAATATATTTTAAATAAGCATTGAAGTGCCTTTATTAAGAAAGACATGAACCTCTGCTTTCATCAGCTGTGTATAAAAGGAATAGCCTTGTCTCACCTAAGAATCAGGTTAACTTCCTGAATATTGGTCTTTCTAAATGTTCAGAGAATCTGTATTTGAAGAGATAAAATTCAAATGAACGGCCAGCTATCAATTTATAAAACACTTTCTGTTTTTACAACATACTTTTAAACTTGAACAAGTGTTGCAACAGTTCTATTTGGATCCAGAGAGGAACCATTCCCCAAAGACACCTACAGGCTTTGCCTACCACTGTAACCATGCCTCTTGTCTTAACACACATTTTCTTATTCACACTTCATGAGAGCCTTTCAAGTAAATGAAAACTGGGAGTGAATCCAGTGGTTCAGTTCATAACAAAAGGATAATATGAACTGCTACCAAATAAACTACATCATTTTACCTACAAGGTCGTTCCATATAAAATATGAAGTCTTTGCAAGTATCTGTTATTTTGCAATTACCACAGCATAGTCTTGCTTCTTCAAGTTCTTGCTGCTTGACTTGACTTTATTACTTGCAATAGTTGCTATAGTTATCTATATTCTTGGAGTCAACTTTAAGCAGAGAGTATCAAGATAAGAACAGCTGTACTCTGTCAGATAGTCCAGAATTAATACCCCTTATCCAAGGAAGTGCCAGATGTTCACAGTAAAGCACAAAGAACTCCCCATAAGTTACAGACTTGCAAAGATATTTTCTTTTAGTCTTCCCATAGCAAGTATAAGATTCTGCCCTTTCTAAAAGGTGTTTTTTGTTCTTACATAGCTAATTATTTCCCAAAACCTGTACCCTCTTCTGCTATGTGCTTCCCTTCGTTAAATCTGTGATCCACAGGAAACCATGACAATGTTTGTAGAAATTTTTTTTTAAATATTGAAAGTTGTCTTTCTGTTTATTAAAAAACAACTTGAAAACAACTTCCTTAACTTGAAGAGAAAAAAGAAAGAAAAGAAACAAAACCTTTTGGAGAGTTCAGTGTGGTTTTTTTTCTTCCCTCCAGCAACATATGGCAACATCTGTTCCCTCCCTGATGGATAATGACTTGTTGGCATTGACTTTTCTGCAATCAAAACTTCTTAAAGGGGCAAGTACATAAATTCAGGTATATTGAAAAATTTATATGCATACATATAAATACATGCTTTCAAGTTCTTGAAGTTTGGTATAGCTGCATGAGCATGTTACTTTTCTGAAATCAACACACTGAGCATAACTTCACACCAACTTTGATTTCTTGTAGAGGAAACATGAATTGGCTTTTGCCTATTGACAAACCATACAGCAGAAACTGTTAACAGGAGGATATTGTCATTTTGCAAAATGAAAGAGCAGACACTTCAAGTTTTAAACATTTATTAAGCCTCATCAAAACACTTTCAAACACATGACCTGGTGCTGTGTGAGGCAAATTTACTTATTTCCTGGATGATTAAACATGACACTTGTGCGAACAGCTTCCGGAAGACCTTTCTGTGCAGCTTATGGACATTGTTGTGTTTTTAGAAGTCAGGACGGTCCTTTTTGAGGCGACTGTAATCCATATTAACCGCGACAAACTAGGAAAGAGAAGGGAAAGAATATTAATTAAGAAGTTTGATTGCACATTTTCCCTGGTACTTACTAAAAATATACATCATTGAACTTACACCAGGAAACTGAAAACATTTTTTGAGTCTGTGAACCGGGCACTAATAAATAAACAAAAACCTTTGATAAACAGTAACTTTTTACTATTTATTCTATACCCAGTATTAGAAGCTCTGCATTTAAAATGAGTGGTCATGTCTTCCACTAGAAAAAACCAACAGTGTCTCCTCTTAACCCCCAGAATTAGAAGCCCATTCAGAGGAACTTTTTACAGTACTGAGGAGTTTATCCATTTTGCTCAAAATCTATGGCTCCTGTATACTGAAGGCAAAAGCCAGCTTGCCATGTGGTGCAAAGCACAGTGTCTGTGAACAGACAGGGGCACAAAGGAACATTTAGGGCAGTGCTACAAAAGCCAAGTTTGGTTTAGGAAGCTGCATCTAGAACTGCAAAGGATGATAAGGAGGAATTAAAGTCAGAACGGATCCTCTCACATGCTCAGTCTATACTATTGTAATTGGATCCTGTTACAAGCAATCCAGAACAACCCAAAAAGTGATGGAGGACAATGAGTTTACTAACTCATATGCATGAGAAACTAACTGCAGACAAACTGCCTATTTTGGCATCCCAGCTTGACTTGACAGCAAGCATGTGATAGTACAGTTTTTCTTAAAAAAACAAAAAGATGAAAAGCACATAACAATCAGTTTGATTATTTTTAGTTACACCCAATTTTTTATTTTTAAAAATTTTTTTAAAGAAAACACAACAGCCTACAGCACATTCAAATTACAGCTTTGTCTGCAACTCCTACAGTAATGCTCAGGTCATCAACTCTTTACTTTGGAAGAAGAGTGAGGAAGTTAATATGACAAAAAGAAGTTTACAATAGAAAAAAAATCCCATCAAAAGCAAGACTTGTATTGCAAGAACTTTTTACTAAAGTCATCCTCAAATTAGAATATATGTCCTTTTCATCTCCCACAAGGCAGATTTGGAAAAAATGTCCCCAATGATTCTCACACCCAAATATGGCAAACACTGAGGCTGTGTTTGTATGTTAAGGCAGAAGGGGAATGCCACACAAGTCATGCACTCTTTAAAAGAATTTGTGCTGTGCACTATGCAGGATTTGCCACGTTTAGATATTTACAAACCAGCAACATTCCAGAACTGGCAATGAAAACAAAGAATGAAATTTTCTTTTTGGACTTTTAAGGGAACTGCAACCTGTTTATTTTGGAAGTGTGGGATTTTTCTACTTATTTCAATGATTTTCATAGTAGTATATGGTACCAAACAAGAAACTATCTTAGAAAACACAGTAGATTTGCTTTTTTTGAAGCTTGAAAATAATCTTAAAGTATTCTTAACAGCAATACTACTAACATAGTACTTCAGTAAAGCATGATTAAAACACGATTCATGTCCAGAGAAGGACAATAAAGCTGGTGAAAGGTACAGAGAGTCAGTCATATGAGGAGTATCTGAGAGAGCTGCCGTTGTTTAGCCTGGAGAACAGGGAGCTCAGGGGAGGCTGTCACTCTCTACAGCTCCCTGAAAAGAGGATGTAGCCAGGTAGGGGCTGGCCTCTTCTCCCAGGCAACCAGCAACAGGACAAGAAGACACAACCTCAAGCTGCATCAGAGGAGGTTCACGTTGGACCTCAGGAAGAATTTCTTCACTGGGAGGATTGTCATACATTGAAACAGATTGCCCTGGGTGGGGGTAGAGTAACCATCTCTGCAAGCGTGGAAGAAATGACTGGACATGCCACTTAGTGCTATGGTCGAACTGACAACATGGTGTTCAGTCCAAGGGTGAACTCAATAATCTTGAAGGTCTTTTCCAACATAAATGAGTCTACGATTTCAGAACACCTGTAAACTACCAAATGTTTCAGACATCTTTGCATGCTTCCTCATTAGTTCAATGAAATTAGCTGAATATCAGCTAAGGAACATTTCTATTGCATCCAGTTATTTACTGATATTATTTTGTTAACATTGTTTTGTTTTCAAAAAATCAAGACCTGCAGACCTGAATTCATGGTTACATTAAACACTGACATTTTCCTGCAGTGCTTCTCATTGAGTAAAGGCCAACAGCTTAGAGCTTAGAAAACCGATTTTCTGGGGTTTTGTCCTTCTCCCTGTAGTTTATTTCTGAGTATTATGAGCCAGTAAATTCTTCCTCTCACTTACAGTTGCTCTTTTCCTTTCAGTGCAATAAATATGACTATTTTCATACAGTCTCTTTTCACCCCATTATCAACCACCATCAGGAGAGTTTTAAACCTCAAACTCAGCCATCTCTGTTCAGAGTTCTAGAGACAAACAAACGCTGCACAAAAGGAATACATCACTCATCCAACTGCTCTCCCATATAATCAAACATCCTATAGCAGTAGGCTACACCTCTAATATGATGCTTCCTGCAAATCTGTATTTCTCATTTTACCTTGTACTGGTCAGTGGGAGCCATTTTGTTCCAAGGTTCTGGGTTATTTTTCCTGTCCCAGCTATTGAGAGAAATGCAAGATGTGAGAGAATATTAACATTACCTTCAAATTGCAAAAAAAAAAGAAATATGTACTGTGGTTATTAGGTCATCTGATCACCCATCCAAGCAAGTTTCCGCAGAAAAAGGCACTGTCCTGTCAGCAGTCTCTAGGTATCATGGTAAACAAAGAGATCTCCAAATCAAGGAAAGCTCCACACACTTAATGCCAGGTGATACTGGACCAAGACATTAAGTTGTCCAGAAACCAAAACCCAAGGCAGCAGAGTGTGACATATGCAGCAAGAGGACTGGCACTGGGAATTACTGAATACATACCTAACGTCAGGGTTGAACATTGCCAAACGCATCAGATACAGGCTTGCACCAACACCTCCAGATCCAATGATCACAAACAGAGGGATCAACTGGAATAATAACACAAAAAAAATTAAGTATCATCCTGCAATATGGCAAAATAGTATTGATACACAGGACTCCTGACATCAGCTATGGCAGGCCAAAGAACAGTCTTACGGATTTTACAAACACGTGGCCCTCTAAACCCCTGGATAAGTTCCTTTTTCGCAAGGTATCCCTGGGGTCATTGAGGAACTAGCAGCTATGAAGAGGCAGGGATGAGAAAAACAGTCCTACAACAGAGAGGCCAAAACCAAACCAAACATTCCGTTACATCGCGTTTCTGCGACAGACAACCGTCCCTTACCGCCAAAATGGCCCCTACCGTCTGTGCTCGGATAACAAAACCAAAAACACGAGAGAGCTAGACTGGAGGCAAATGGTGGGCAAGAAGATCGGAAACGGCCACCTCGAGCCTCGCAGCACGAGCGAGGCCGCAAAACCGGTGATCAAAGGGACCTGGCCGTGTCTGCTCGGCCAACTCCGGGCGGTCAGGGGTTCGGCACGCACAGCAATGCCAGAGACGGATGGGCCAGGAGGAGGCGACCGGCGTGGCCGGGGACACCCAGCCACGGCAGAGAAGGGCGGGCGCGGGGCCGGGTATCAGGCTCAGGTACTCACGGCCGGGTGCTTCTTCGCGTGGGTGAGGATGGTGCTCAGCACCATGGCGGCGGTGTCGGGGTGGTGGTGGTGTGGTGGGTGCGGGCGAAGATCTCGCTGTCTGCGGGCTCCGCAGCGCTGCCTCCCCCTTCAGCCGCCGAGCCCCAATGTCACCGAGGCCCCCGCCGCGGCAGGTGCCGCCGCCGCAGCCCGGATGTAGCAGCTCTGGCGTTCGCCTGCGCGCCCTCCGCCGACTCGCACCGGCCGCCGCGCGTAGCGGCGCCCCGCGCCGGCCCCGACACGCTCCTCGGCCCGTGTGACCCCGGCGTTAGCGCGGCCCCGGCTCGCCGGCAGCGCGGGCACCGCGGGCGGCGGCAGGCACCGACCCGGGCACCCCGGGGCAGCCGGGCAGCGCCGCCCCACGCCGGCCCCTGCCGCGCGGGCAGCGCCTGCGCCCGGGCAGCGCCTGCGCCCGGGATGCCCGCGGCAGGCAGGGCCCGGCAGCCGCGGCCGCCCGGCGTGGAGGGTCACCCGCCTGCCGCCCCTGTCACAGAACGGGCCAGGTTGGAAGGGACCTCAGTGGGTCATCTGGTCCTCCCTGCCCGGGCAGGGTCGTCCTAGAGCACATGCACAAGATTGCATCTCGACGGGTCTGGAATATCTCTCGTGAAAGAGATTCCACAACTGCTCTGGACAGTCTCTTCCAGTGTGTGGTCAACTGCACAGTAAAGAAGTTTTTCCTCGTATTCAGGTGGAACTTCCTGTGCATCGGTTTCTTCCCGTTACTTTACATCCCATTGCTTGGCACTACCAAGGAGAGCCTGGCTCCATCCTCTTGATATCCCTTATAGACGTCTATTAAGTTCCCTTTCACTCATTCCATTTCGAGGCTGAACAGGCCCAGCTCTCCCAACCTTTCCTCTTAAGAGACATGCTTCCCTAATTGTCCTCAATAACCCTCCACAAGACTCATTCCAGGAGCGACCTGTCTTCCACTGAGGAGCCCAGAACTGGACACAGCGTTCCAGGTGCAGCCCTCGCCATGGATGAATAGAGGGGCGGGATCATCTCCCTCAGCCTGCTGTCAATGCTATTCCTAATGCACGCCAGGATACCGCGGGTCTCCTTGGCCGCATGGGCACGCTGCTGCCTCATGGACAGCTCGTTGTCCACCAGGACTTTCTTGGTGCTGCCCTCACACCGCCCAAGAGCTGCTGCCTCTTGGGGCAGAGCCTGCCATGGCCTTGTGAGGCGCCTGCCTGCTCCCTTCTCTGTAGCCATGGGTACCTCCACGCCTGTGTCTGCCCTCAGCTGGGCTCCCTTCACAGGGCAGGCCTGAGCACTCACCAACCTGGGTTAAAACTCAAAGGGATGGTTTAAAGATGAGGCAAAACAGTTAGAGTTTCATTGTCCTGAAAAGGATACAGGGAATGAAATTCATCACAGAACTGCCAACTTAATTTTTGCTACGGTCAGGTTGGCAAAAGGTTGGTATGTACAGGGCATTGAGACAGCCCTTTCATTTCCAAAAGCAGATTATAATGATATATTACATGTAAAGGATTCTCCCTGTCTGCTCCACCTGGAGTACTCCATTACAGGACAGACATAGACCTGCTGGAGCAAACCCAGAGGAGGACACAAAGGTGATCAGAGGGATAGAGGAAAGGCTGAGACTTGGGATTGTTCAGCCTGGAAAAGAGAAGAGTTATGGGATGACCCATTTGCAGCCTTCCAGTACATGAAGGGAACCTCCAAAAAAGTGGGAGAGGAACTTTTTACAAGGGCATGTAGGGATAGGACCTGGAGGAATTACTCTAAACTTACAGAGGGTAGGAAGAAATTCTTTACTTAGAGAGTAGTGAGGCACTGGAATAGGTTGTCCAGAGAAGTTGTAGATGCCCCATCCCTGCAAGTGTTCAAGGCCAGATTGGATGGGGCTTTGAGCAACCTGGATCTAAATGACCTTTGAGGCCCCTTCCATCCTGATCCATTCTATGATTCCATTATATTTTGACTAAGGTTGCTTTAATTATTTAAATGTGGCTTGAATTTAATTATTTTTTCTTTTTGTATAATTTTAAATGAGCAACATAGCTATTTATTGTATGGTGCTGTGTCCAAGTGCTGTCCTATTTTTTTCTCCATTATTATGTATCTTATTCAAAACTGGGAACCTAATACCTATCTTTGGATAGTATCACCAGCTACTCTGAGATGTGATTTATTTCACAAAAGGTAGCCCAAAAGGTAAATTTGTGCCCAGGCATTAAAAAAGTCATTATTAGGTAAAGGGCATATCATCATGCTACTAACCTAAGACAGAAATAGTCCTTGTTGTAGGTTAGACACAAAAGAACTTGGCAGGAATGCTCTTGGTTTCTGTGGCTGTATAACAAAGTAAAATTCTGAAGTAAAAGATAACAAAGTAGCAGAGAATAAATATATTGAAGCAAGTGGATGTCTTCTATTTCACTCCCTAGTTCCACAGACTGGCTTCTGCTTATTTTCAGCCATTATCTCCAATTGCCTCCATTATGATAAATTCTACCAAAAAAGTGTATTTCTTGCATATAATTCAAAAATCGGTTTTTGGTTTTTTTTTTTCCAGATTGCCAGAGCTAGTTTAACCTGGATAACAGATGAGTTCAGGAACTTGTACAAATGGATTTGACAAGTCATTGTATGTCACAAGAAAAAAATAGTTTTAACAATGTTATCTTTGGAGCAATGTAATTCTTTTGCTTGTCTCCTTCATTTGTTTCAGAGTTCATAAACAGAAAAAATCTATAGTTGGTGTGCTCCAGGAGTCTGTTACTCTATTCCAGTATTCATTATGTCATGACAACAGTACTTTTCCATTTTTTTAATGGAAAGAATATTTTGCCTATGTTAAAACTATGAAAATAATATTATTGCTGCTATTCTTCTATAAAAGAGAAATGCATGAAAGAGTAACTTGGAAGGTTACAGTGCTCCCCTTCTAGCAGAGTAGTTGAACTTTTCACCATATACCTGGATTGCAGGAGATGCCAGTTGCTGCAGGAAAACCAGGGAGCAACCAAAGGGTAGATGGATAACCAGAAACTGGGGCTGCTCAGCAAAGCTCTGCTCAGAGTGCAAGAGTCTGCTTCCTTATGCCCAGCCAACATATGGCTAAGTGGGAAAATTTGGAGACTACAAGTATCCTGTTTCTGCACTACTAAGGGAAGAGCATCAGAGGTGCATTATTTCCACTAGGCTCTGTCTTGAGCACATATTTTTAGGAAAGACATTATGATTTTTATATGCTTTTCAGTATAATTTTTTTCACAGTGATTTATAGTTTTTGCTGTCTTATGCTTTTATGAATTTAAAGTGGTGTAGGACCTGATCAATTTGCAACATTTGTCATGCATTTCATGGGCTTTCATAAATTTTTGTCATTTTGTATGTCAGCTTTTATTGCCTAGGCCTGTATGGCTCAGCTGTTTTGTTGTTCTATACATGCCTTATTATTTGTAACACCTGGAATTTTGGGTATGGGAATGAATTTTGCAGACATAAAAAATTACAGTTTAAAACAATCAGAAATCAGACATTTTCATTCTAATTTTGAAAATTGCAAGTTAATATTTTTAAATTTCACACAATGCAGCATTGCTAAAAATGCAACCCCTCACTTGCATCACTTGGCAAAATACAGAGTGTAAACTCAAAGTACCTCATGGCATCTTGATGATGGATCCATGGTTCTAAGAAATACCCACTCAGCTGCCAAGTTTGAGTGCTTGTACTAGGCTATGGTTATATAAATTATATGGGTTAATTTATAGTAATGCTGTCAATAGATTAGCCATACTTGAAGACTAGCAATTTTCTGTGACTTATCAATCCTTTCCCAGAAAGACAGTGAAACACTGGATAAAGGTAGATAATTTTGCCACTCTCTTATCTGTCACTTAGGTACACAAGCTGAAAGTAAACACATTTATTCCTTCTTAAGGTTTTGTACCTTTATGTTCACATCTGACAATTAAATTCATTATCCTTTAGTTAGACATGTTGCTTCCTTTAATCTAAGTTATTTTTGTGTAGGTTTTTGCCTTTTAAATAAGTGGATGCATAAATGCTTCAGGTATTTTGGCAAGATTTTGTGATGAACCAGTCCATGAAGAACTAGGGGCTAAACATGCAGTAGTGCTCAGCACTGCTGAAAAATCAAGTCCTCAGATTATTCTGATGCTTTGTCATTTATTTTTTCCTCTTGTCTATTGTTCTCCTGTACAGCCTCACGTCATGGCTTCTGTCTCCCACTGTCCCTCCTTGATTGTCACTGGACCTTGTTCCTGTGCTTAGGCTCATTTGAGCTTTTGACTTCAGAAACTTTTCTTCTATTCCAGATGCTTTGTTTTAGTTTATGGTGGCCTTCCTGTTTCTAAAGTCTTAATTCCTCAAACCTTACCTGCCAATATGAATTGATTCATAGAAATCTGCAGATTTCTAATCTGTTCAACAAGTATGGTATGTCTCATTTTTCTTAATTTAAGGCAACTGATTTTAGCCACAAATATAATCAAGTCTGATCTCCCAAAGAACAAGAATCAGAAGTCATTATAAAATCAGGTTATTTGAAGAATTGCACCCTTAAGGTTTGACAAAGTCAGTTCATTAAAAAAAAAGACAAAATTATAGTCAATTTGAAGTTACTTTTTTTACTTGGAGGAAAATAGGAAGGAAAGATTAGTAGATTTGGAGATGTTCAAACTGGTTAGTGCTCAAGAAACTAAATTCATTGTGAATTGTCCTATAGCATCAGGACATTTCTCTGTTAATTTGAACAATAAACTGAGGATTTCTGTAGGCCTCATCAGATTTTTTAAAAAGGCAAGGACTTTTAATGTTCTTAGCAGAGAAAAGGAATTATAGGAGAACAAAATATATTCAAAAACCTCAAAAATACGTAAAAATGTAAAGCATAGCTTACCTGTGATAAATACACAGGGATTTTTGTGATTTCATTTTTTTACTGTTTCTGTTTTATTTTTACTGTCTGTTCCCTCTGTTGTACATACTTGTACTCCTTTCTCTGCACTTAGCAGGGGGCAACAGCAGAACAGGATCTATGTGTGCAGACCTCTGCCAAGCCCATTGGGGTGACATCTTCCTTAACATCTGACTCATATTTGGGTTCTAACTCTGTGAAATGGA